AAGCATTCTGTGGTACAGTATGAATTATATCAGTCTTTATCCCTGGCTCCTATCACAGAGTTCTTAAAACCTTTGGCATTTCCTGAGTGACAGGAATGTATTTAGTTATTCATAACGACGCCCTGCCATAATACCTGAGTTTATGCTAACAAGGTGACTTTAAGGTAGGGCTCCTACAGGATGGGCCTGGTCACCTGAAAAATCAAGTGGTTGGAGGATTGAGGGTTGGAACTTTCAGCCTCACCCACCAAACTCCAGAAAAGGTAAGGGTGGAGATTAAGCTCTATAAAAACTATGTAAACAAGTAGATTTGATGAGCTTCCACGTTGTTGAACATGTGGAGGGATTGGGAGGGTGGTGGCCAGTGATGGCATTAAAGTTTCACAATCACCTCCCACCTCCCCCCACCCCCCCCGCAATAACTTGCCCTAATGCAGTTGTTCTATATGGTTATTGCTGGGGGATACTGTGTATCATAAACTGGCAAACATAAGTCAAATGTTTCCTTGAGATCTGGGAAATTATGGAACACACATGGCAGTGAGGGAACGTGGGAGGTGGTGGGAGCCCTAATTTACAGCTGGTTGGTCAGAGAAGCCTGGTCACAATCTGAGACTTGCCATTGACTTCTGAAGTGGTGCAGTCTTGTGAGACTGAGCCCTGAACCTGTAGAATCTGATGCAATCTACGGGTAGATAGTCAGATTTGAATTATATTTTATTTAGTTAGTTCGTTTTAATTTTTTTATTTTAAAGATGTGGGGTACAATTCAGGGTTAGATATGCAAATGCTCATTATGCAGGTACCCTTGTTGATGAGGTGTGCCCCCCTTTCCCCAGGCAGATTCCCACTACTGCCAATCCCGCCGCCCCCACTGCCAATCCCGTGTCCCCCCACTTTCCTGCTACTGCCAATCCTTTTCTTATAGTATTACAGTAAGATTTGAATTTAATTATAGGACACTCAGTTGGTGTCCACTGGAAAATTGTTGAGTATGTGGGTGGGGGGCACACATTTTGGTGACCAGAAGTAAAGCAGAAATGTATTAAGTGTGAGTAGTGACCCCTCTACTCCTTACTGACCCTTACTGCTCCACACTGGTAGGTTATTGATCAGCTAATTGATTATAATTAAAACTTTATTTTTAAAACTTCATTATTCTTGCATTTCATTCGTTGTTAGCTGTTAATTTCTAACACAACCTCTCTCTTTTTCACTTCCATCATTTCAGGCCTATGGTAACTATCCTTGATTCCCAGAATGGACTTAATGTGCAGTTTTACCTCCGCAGACACCCACTGCACATTCTTTAGAGTGCAAGACCTTCGGATATGCTCTATTTTAAAAACAACCCACAAATTCATACAGCTCAAAAGCTCAGATTCTATTGAAATGAAATGTAGATGATTAAACACTATTGATGGTTTGAGTGAAAATGAAATGCCAAGATACAAACTTAAGTACTACTGGAGAACTCACCTAACGTACTTTTTGATTGGGTAGAGTAAATATATTCTCATTTTTTTTTCTTTTTTCAAGAACTAGCCACCAATTCCTTCAAGAAAAAAATGGTCACAGCACAATTTATTGAAACCCGTACGTAGGCTGCAATCCGAAGTCGATCGATTTCCAGCCCTACTCAATACACCTCAAGCGCGTGTTGGGTTTTGCGCGTGGGCGGACGTGGGGCCCCACTGCTCTCACTGATACTCAGGGGTTCGGGACCCCCCAAACTGCCGGGCTGCTCGCAAGCTCGACCGCGGCAGGCCCCGGGCCCCGCCTGGCCCCGGGAGTCCTCCGGCGGCCGGACGCCCTGGAGGGGGCCGGGCCCCGCCCGCAGCCCCTTCGGGGAGGTCCGCGG